CTAAAGCCCTGAACCCTAAACCCTCAACCCCCATTCGAGGTACAAGGACCCCTTTCTGGCCTGAGCCGCTTCGTAGGCAAAAAGGCATCCAAGATGGTCCGTACTATTCCTTCTTGGGGGTTTAATATAGGGGCCTCAACAATTAGAATAGGGTTTTGGGGCCCATGATACTATAGTTATAATAAGGAACCCCGACAATAGTATTGGTAAATATTTATGCCCCTACATTAGGGTTTCGGGGTTCCTAATCTAAACTAACACTTGTTCAGCACCCAACCGAGGACCCCGGCGATCACCTCTGATTCGCTCGTCTCATCGCCATCGGCATGTCTAAACCCCCTAAACCCTAAACCCTAAACCCTGAACGCTAAAACCCTAAACCCTAAATCCTTAGCATCAATAAGTCCCCAAGTGCCTGGAAGCCTCAGCATGGGACCCTAAACCCTAAGTACGAGGCCGGGGCATAAAGCAAGACGCCTCTCCAAGCTGAGGGCGTAAAGCAAGAAGCCCGAACCTGCAGCATTAAGCCTCTGAAGCGAGTCCCGGTTTAGGGTTTACCTACAGTCTCCATTGTAGTTCCTTTTTTTGGTTTAACCAATTATATATTAAGGATTCTATACGGTAACCCCAAAAAGGAACTACAATGGAGACTATAGGTAGGGTGGTAAGTTGGAACATGGGTTTAGGATGATTGGTGCTAGGATTCCCTGTGCTCTACCTGAAGGTGACGAGGATACTGGTGTTCCGACTTTTTGGCTTCTGCTACAATTAACCGTACAGCTGCAAGCCCAACACACAGGGCTCTCAACCCAAAGCTCATCGAGAACTGCGCCCGACAGTGGCAGGATCTTGGTTATTGAGGGCATCCATGCGCTGAACCCTCTCTACACCAAGGAGGGTCCAGAGGGTTTAGGGTTTCCTGGAGACTTCTTTGGCATCTTTTGAGGAATGCCCCACACCCCGAAACCCTATAACAGAGGCCTCTAGGAACCCTTGAAGGCGTAGGATTTACGGATTTCGCATGATCGGCATTTGGATCTTTCAGAGATCGTGATGTTTCGAAAGAGGCAGACTCCTCAGAGCAAGGAGTCTTCATAGACGAGAATCACATGTCTAAAGGTCCGCATTTCCGCGCCAATTCTAAACTACACTAAGCTTCAATGCCGCGAAGCAGGAGCATGAGGCAACGACCAGCGAACTCCTTCGAGGATCCACCCAGACCCTGAATTCTAGTACAATTTGTTTTGTTCGCACCATTTTGATTGTAGGATCCGAGCCAGAAAATTTTGATTGTAGGATCCGAGCCAGAAAATCGCTTGTCCGACAAAACTCGGGTCTAGCTAGGGTAGAACGCCGGTCAGAATAAAATCGGTTCGTTGTGTAATACTTCAGGGTTCATGTTACAGGGAAGCACATACTCTTTGCAGCTTTTAGGCTTTACTGTAGGGTGTAGGGCTTATGGTTTGCTTCCAAATTAAATGCAGGGTGAATGTTCGAATCATTAGGCCAGCAGATTGCAGCAGATTTGTCTTACCGTAGTCGTGGAGCCATGCCTTTACGCCTGAGGATACACGTATTTGGCACGGGGGTACAAACGAATGACTGAAAATCTTGATGGGTGTTGCTGACGGAGGAAATCTCGCACCAGTCATCGTCCATGCTATAGCGGACTTGCCAAGGTCAGTTCGTAGGTGCTGCAAGAAATACCCAATTCGGGGCACCGATTAACCGACGTGTGTATGTAGTAAGACTGATGTAGATGCAGTCATACCGACCGGATACAGAGGCGCACAGTGACTGCAAGAGGGATGCCCAAACTTCCTCAATGAAAATGCTGGTCCCCTGCCATAGGCCGTTTCGGACGACAAGCTTTTCAAGATCTTCATCTCGCCGCTAACATCTCTGCAGGCCGCCTTAGTCGTCGTTGGTAGCAGTAGCATGGGTGCTGAGGCTAGTGGTGGTGGTGGTGGTGATAGTAGTAGCAGCAGCAGCAGCAGCAGGAGTAATAAAAGTTGCAGTAGTAGTCGTCGTCGTCGGAGTAGCAGTAGCAGTAGCAGTAGCTGTAGCATCAGCAGCGGCAGTAGTCGCCGTGGTAGTGGTAGTCGTAGTGGTCGCGGTAGCGGTAGCGGTAGCGGTAGCGGGCTGAAGGTTTGTGGTCTAGGGTTGAGGATTTTCTGCTTGGTGTCTGGTGCTGTTGGGCCAGCGCGAGCCTTGGAGTTTGAGGTCTGTGCCTGGGCTCCGACGGTCCACTTTGGTCGGGAACTGTGGCCTGGGATGTTCGAAATCAGACATTTGGGCTGAAGATCTCGAAGCTCATCCTCTAAATCCTGAAAGAGGCATCGTTCAACTCTGAGTGAAGTGAAAGCAAACCTTCCAGAACCCTGTCGACGCCTTGATTTCTCATAGAAGCCTGATCATCGCCTCCCCTGAAGGAACCTTTATAGAAATCTTCTTGAGCCCCTTGATAGAATCGCTCAACAACCCTTGTCGAAACCTTATCAAGCTCTTGTAGGACCAACTGAGCCCTTGTAGACACCTGATAAAACTGTCAAAAGAAGCTTAGAAACCCCTTACAGCCTCTTCTCGACCCCTTAAAAGGGGCCCTTCCTCTTCAACGTCTTAAAGAAACTCCTTATGGAGCCCCCGGAGTAGCACCCTGACAACCTGAGCTTCAGCGACTCCTGCCGCCTGCAGTTGGATGACCACAACTGCGCCGGTGCCTGAGTAGAGCCTGCCGGAAGTAGAGACCCGAAGGGGTTTAGTAGGGTTTAGGGTTTAGGGTTTAGGGTTTAGGGTCTAGTTTTTTGAGGCTCCCTACGCCCTAAACCGTTTAGGGGTTTAGGGTTTGGGTTTTCGGGACGAACACTAGTTTGAACATGCGTCTAGGAGGGGCTTCCTGTGGCATTGCTGGAAAAAAAGGGCTTCAGTGCAGGGAAAGGTTCGAAGTTTCAGGGGTGTAGGAACGGTTTTTGATGGTTTCCGGTGGTGGAGCTTCGGGTTCAGGTTTCGGGGGGCTTTCGTTTTGGGTCTGTGGTGCTGGAGTCACTTCGGATTCAGGTGTTAGCTCGGAATCCGGCTTAGAGGGTTTAGTGTTTAGGGGTGGCTTAAGGATTGTGGGTGTTGGGTGTGGGATTCAGGGGGTCGTTTTTTCTGTCTAGGTCCAGGTCGCAGCAGGAAACCGCGAGTCTTCGGGGAGCCACTTCCAAAGACGACGATGGTGCCCCAGGTTATGGTGACGATGTCGATCATCTTGGTGATCATGTGACAATCTGCTCTTCGTCGACGTCCCACCGTGAGCATGTTCATGTTGCCGATTGACCAGATAATGCAAGTCGCTTCATCCAATGGCCAGGAATCCAGGAGTCAGTATTGGCAGCTAGCATCCCGACATTCCGATGCCCTACACCCCACCCTAACACCGCATCCACGAAGCCAAGACCCTGAGCTTTTACACCCCCAAATGTCATAGCTCAGGTCAAAACAACGCACCACCGGCTCCTCAGACGGATGTCCCGCGACTATCTCTTCCGCGGGAACTCTGCGGCCGACATCTCAGCGCACTGCCAGTAGCATTTAATGTGGCTTCGAGTTTAGAGATGTGGAAAGTTGACAGCAGTGAGTTACAGTGAGTTCAAGCCTTGCACCAGCAAAAGGAAAGCCAAAGCACAAGCTCCACTAGGCCCTAAGCCCTCAACCCTAAACTGAAAGAGCCCTATAGATCTTGAACTCCTACCTTAAGAACCCAAGACCTACTTTTTTGTAGGGTCCCTATAAATCCCATAATAGGGTTCATAATAAGAACCTACAAAAAAAGTGGGTTTTGGGTTCTTAGGTAATTGTTGTAAGATTCTACGGGAGATATGGTGGTTGATCGGCCTGGACGGGGTTTAGAACAATTCCCTCTGGCTCCTGGAGGGGGGCCTTAATACTTGGGTTATGTCGGGATCCTTATACATCCTATGATTTGGGGTCGGGGACATGGTAAGTAAGGTTGTAAGCGCCTTACTTGGGGCCAGAAGTACGTATGACTATGGTTACCCGATCAAAATAAGTCCCTGGACCCTTGAAGTGCCTGGGTGAATTCCCTAGGGATCCTCTGGCGTTCATGTGTTTTTGCGGGCCTGATCTTTAGCAGTTCAGGCTTTATGCTTTTCCTCATTTCGAGTCTTGATTTTGCGCCTGGTGGTGTCAAGGCTTCTTGGAGAAAAAAAGAGAGAGAACAACGTCATGTGGAGCCTTTTCAAAGGACCCCTTCAGTTAAGAAATCCCTTGAGAAACACTTGGGATTCAGTGTTGAGGCACGAACTCTTGGCATGTGGGACAATGTCCGGAAGGGCGAGGCGTGTTGGCTTGGGGCTTTGGGCTATCTAGGGTTTAGGGTTTAGGGTTTAGGGTTTATAAGGTTGGGGCTTTGGGCTATCATGGTCATGGTTACTGCTACCAACACCACCGCTGTGACTACTATCACTCCTCCTCCTCCTCCTGAGAAAGCTTTTAAACCCTAAACTCCCTAAACCCTAAACCCTAAACCCTAAACCCTACATATTTTATTGGATTTGTGAAACCTCCTACACTCTTGCTTGTAGGTTGGGTTTTGACATGTGCGCCTTGATTCGGTGATCAGAATGGTGCCTTTGCATGTCAAACGGCTTCATTGGGCGGGATGTCTTTCAGAACTACGGTTTCAGGGGCCCCTAAAGCGTAAACCTAAATCCTAAACCCTACATTTGCGATTTCAGGGCTTAGTGGCCCCATGTGTACCACACAGCATGTGAAGGTTTGGTCTCAGCAATTGCTGGCTCCGAGTTTAGGACTTCGGGTTTAGGCGTTTAGGGTCGAGGGGTACTACACCCTAAACCCTAGACCCCTAACCCTAAACCCTTGAACTCTAAACTTGCTTGGGAACTCCAGGCCCGCTAAGGTCGGTGCCGAATTCTTAGTCAGTGAGGGTACAAGTCCATTGCTTAGGGTTTCGTTGAAGTACATGAATGGTATTAGGCAGCTTACTTTCAGCCTCAGAGCTGCCACGACAAACTAGAATCTTACCTGCACATACTCGGGCTGCATCCTCCATTTCCTGGCAAATATACTGCTTAGACTACTAGAGGCAAAACCCTCAACGCTTAGCAGCCTTAACTGCTGACACGCTCGTTTCTTGGTCCTTGTTCTGAAGGAGAACAGACCTCAAACAGAGAACACTTCTAAGATGCTTCACCTATAGTCTCCATTGTAGTTTCTTTTTTGGGGGGTACCTTGTAGGATCCTAAATATACTACTGGTTGAGCCAGAAACAGGAACTACAATGCAGACTATAGGCAGCGCCGGCTTCACGACAGGGCGTTTGGATTTTCCCTCACCAGAACAACGCGGACTTCGTCATGAACTCTGCCGCCGAATACGAGGCAGAAGTCAGAAACCTGTGGGATTTCAGACCCTTGGATAGTTTAGGGTTAAGGGGTTCATTGTTTAGGGTTCGGGGGGCTTAGGGGCTAGGGTTTAGGACCTTGGTTGAATGGTTTTGGGTTTCGGGCTTAAGCCCTAAACTCTAGCACTTACGTTCTTGGTTCTCATCACTTCGACTCCCTCAAAAGCCCGTCTGCATTTAACTATGTAAAGCACTGTCTGCAAGAATCTTCATCTGTTACTTTGAATCCCAGAGCTTTTATTTGCATGCCTCCTTTCTTGACCGTAGCTCTGGTCCGACTTGCTGTGCTGGGCATCGAAGACGAGAGTTTAGTGCACCAAGATTTCTGGCTCGGGATTCGGACTTAGGGTTGAGGCGTAGGCTGAAGCCTGGACCCCCTGGCCTGAAACCCTAAACCCTGAACCGTGAACCCGAAACCCTAAACCCTAAACCCTAAACCCTGATGAACCCTAAACCGTAAACCCTGAAACCCTAAACCCTAAACCCGAAACCCTGAACCCTGAAGCCCTAAACCCTAAACCCTGATGAACCCTAAACTCTAAACCCTGAACCCTGAAACCCTAAACCCTGAACCCTGAATCCTGGAATGAAGAGTCAGAAGCGTCCACGACGAGCCTGCGCGGGTTCGGGTTCGGATAGGAAGCCACGTTGAAAGCTCGAAGATGACGTTAAACCCAAAACGCCCTAAGCCATGCGAAACCCAGGAACAACCAAACTCTAAAGCCATGAAGCCCAATACCCCTAACCCAAACCCAAAAACCGTAAAACCCTACACCCGAAGCACCTGAGCCGGAAGCCAAAAAAAAACATCGCTGCAGATTCCCGTTCTGAAGACGTATAAACCCTAAACCCTTTAAACCCTAAAGCCTATAAACCCTAAGCCCTATAAACCCTAAACCCTATAAACCCTAAACCCTATAAACCCTAATCCCTATAAACCCTAAGCTGCAGATTCCCGTTCTGAAGACCTTCATCGAACCTCTTCTCCGTGCTGCCGATGCTTCAGCTGTTGGGTTTTCGGGCTTCGGGTGGAGTTGGGGATTTGGGGGTTTCCGAGGTACCTTATTTTAAGGTCCTTATAATAATGATCCTACTATTTAGGGTGCTATATTTGGGTCCCCTATTTCCGGAAACCCCCATTTCGAGATTTGGATTGGCTGATCTTGATGTTCTGTTTCCGCGTTTGGTGTTGGCTCGGTTTTGGAGGTTGACCGAGCATGGTGTTGGGCCTTAGGCTTCTGCATTCAAAGCCTGGAGCATCAGATTTAGATGTTGCCTTTGCAAGGGCCGGGGTTGATTATCAGAAAGTTTCAGTGCCCAACATCCTGGGTTGTGTTGCTGGAAGCCGAGGAGGTGTTGGTAGTCGTCGTCGCCATCGTCGCCGTCGTCGTTTTCGTCCTTGTCCTCGCCGTCGTCGGGTAGGAGGGCTACTGCAGCACTACAGCGTCCACAGCTGATTCCGACAGTACGTACAGTACTAATGTGTCCAGCAGGAGTCCAACAAGATCTGTCGGACCTCCCACGGTTGAGCAGCACTGAACCACGTGACGTATGGCAACGCATCACCGGTTGTGAAAACATGCGTTAGAGAATAGAAAAGGACATGGCCTAGGACTGCATATCCGAATTTCCGCGAAGCTGAGGTCACCCCGGATGATGAGACCTTCCCGAAGGCACCTGAGACGAGATATATAGCAAGTTAACACCTAAAATCAAGCCGCGCCAGACTTCTAGACCCCCAACCTCCGATGCTAGACTCGTTGCCCCAAGCGCTGCACCTTAACTTAATCCCGAAACCCTGCAGCAAGACCATGAAGCCTAAATCCCACTGCAGGCCTCTGGAGTTCAGGCCATTTGGAATCACGATCGAACCAGAATACGAAAAATGTTAAAGATGCCAGGATTTACGGTTTCGGGCTTAATGTTTTAGGAGAACTGCGACAGTAACAAGAATGGCAGCAGAATCTTCGTAGCATGTAGTAATTTTGAGAACGAGTCCAATATTCACGAGACCCCTATATGAATGCAGCTAGCAATGCTGGGAGTGAGAATCCTAACGCCCTACGGCTAATGGTTCATTTCCTCATTTCTTTCGTGCTCCCTGCCAAAGACCCCAAACATCCTGAAAACCCAAGAGTCGATAGACCGAACGGACAAAAGTCCCAAAAACCTCGGAACTGCAAAAGCCCTAGAAACCCTAACCCCTAAACTCCTATCAGCCCCAACATACAAAGCCCAATCTCCTCTGCGCTCTACAGCTTAAACCCGGTCTGCGCTGTAACACCCTACCTATAGTCTCCATTGTAGTTCTTTTTGTGGGATGCCTTAGAAATTCCTTAATATATAATTGGTTACACCAACAAAAAGGAACTACAATGGAGACTATAGGTATAAGTCCAGCCACTGCACAAATCGTGCAAACCCTTGCCAGACCCTCTGAAGCCCTTTACGAAAAAGCCTTTCCCAAGGAAGAAGCCCCTAGACGAGTCCCCAAACGCTAAACCCTAAACCTTATGTAGCCCTAAACCCTAAACCCCCAAACTTAAACTTAAGACCTTAGGCCCTAAACCCTCCACCCTAAACCCTAAACCTTAAACCCTAAACCCTAAACCCTAAACCTTAAACCCTAAACCCTAAACCCTGAACCCTGTAAACCCCAAGCCAGTCGCCGAAGAGGCCCAGGAGATTTTGAAGCTCCTGGACCTCTTCGCCACCTGGCCGCCCGAGCTTGCGCCACCTCTGGCGTCCGGACTCCCAGGTTCTACAAGGGTTTAGGGTTTAGGGTTTGGGGTTTGGGGTTTAGGGTTTAGGGTTTAGGAGTTTAGGGTTTATGGTTTAGGGGTCTTCAGGGTTGTGAAGGCTCCATTGGGCATTAGGGCTTTAAGAGCTGCCTCTAGGTCTTTGTGTGTGTAATTGAAGGATTCTATGGGTTTCGGGGTGTTATGGAGAAGGAGTCGAGGGAAAAGGGCCAGGAATTTGGGGGTGTTGAGGCTTTAGGGGTTTTGGGTCGCTGAGGAGCAGTGAGCGTAGGGTTTTCGTGGTTTAGGCTTTGAAATGTTCTGGTCTTGTCGGGGTTCTTACTTGTAAGTGGCCCAAATTTTCAAGTGTACTGGCATTGCGCTACGTTTGAGGGTTTCGCACATGGGTTGATGTGTTGCAGGTTTCGGGCAGTTACGGCTTAAGCTCTGCCTATAGTCTCCATTGTAGTTCCTTTTTGGGGATACCTTATAAATTCCTTAATATATATATATATATATATAAATTGGTTAAACCGAAAAAAGGAACTACAATGGAGACTATCGGTAGGCCTTTATAGATCTCTGAAGCGCCAGCATTACAGCAAAACACGTACTCCGCACAACGCCGACGCGACTCGCAGCGTGAAGGCCAGAGCCGAGACGTTTTTTGTTTTGTGGATGTTGTGGGACTTGGCTTCAGGTTTAGTAGGGTTTAGGGTTTAGGGTTTAGGGTTTAGGGTTTAGGGTTTAGTGGGTATTAGGTGGGGAGCTCAGAATTTGCAGATTCTGCTGATCGTCTTAGTGATTGAGACATGAAGATGGCTTTAGAATTCGCTGGGCTTCACTCCCATGGTGTCTGGTCCCTAAACCCTGAACCCTAAACCCCAAAACCCTAAACCCTAAACCCTAAACCCTAAACCCTAAACCCCAAGGACTGCAAGAAGTATAGGCTGCAAGGCGGGACCACTAGCGGGTTCGGACATTGGGGCTTCGGGAAGCCTAGGGCTTCAGGACGCTCGGCCCTAAACCCTAAACCCTTAAAGGATCCCTTAAAGGATCCCTTCAAGGAACCCTTAAAGGAACCCTTAAAGGAGCCCGTAAAGGAACCCTTAAAGGAACCCTTAAAGGATCCCTTAAAGGAACCTTTAAAGGAAGCCTTAAAGGAGCCCGTAGAGGGTTCAAAGCGCAGACCAAGGTTGCTCCGCGAGTTCGTGGGGGAGGGCGCCTTTGACTGCCACTGAGCGTCTTCTTGCGACTGCAGGGCGTGGCCATGCTTAGGCCAAGGCATTCTAGGGTTCGGGTTTAGGGGCTTAGGGTTTAGGGTTTAGGGTTTAGGGTTTAGGGGTTTGGGGTTTAGGGAGGATTAGGGCGGTTGTCCCTGATACGACCCTGCTTTAAAAGCCTTAAACACTCCCAAACCCCATATCCTAGATCTACATGGACTCCATAAACAAGATCCTTCGGTTGAGAGTCATAGCAGCTTAAGTACAGAACACTGACTAGACAGTCCGTGGCCGAATTCCTTGCCGCTCATGTAGACAAAGCCCTGTAAACCTAAAACCCTACACCCTAAACCCTAAACCCTAAACCCTAAACCCTAATACACTGAGTTTGTAATCCTACCCACGCTGAGAATCGTCCGGAAGCCTTGCAGGGTCTGGTCTTTGGTGCAAGGACCTCAGCACAGAAGTGGCTGTTGGGGCCTAAATATTTACCTACAGTATCTTTTTTTTTTTTTTTTGGGGGGGGGGGTGGTTCCTTGTTATAAGGATAGTATAGTGGGCCCCGAAACCCTATTCTAATATTATTAAGGCCCCTACATTAGCTGTTGGGACTGCCACGCAGGCTCAAGCACCTTCAGCACTTAGCCTGGAGTTCTAGCTTCGGAAGTGCTTGCCAAGACCGCCCCTGCAGTCGTAGCTGCACGCAAGCCGTGTCGTCGCGGTGCCACACCGACCTGAACTCAGGGTTCAAAGCTCGTCGGGTTTTGGGGTTTAGCGCCCTAAACCCTAAACCCTGAACCCTAAACCGAGTCGTAGTCCCGTACAATGGCCCGGCGCTAGCCTAAACCCACACTCCGAGCTGCTAAGCTCCACTGCTGGGAACGTTGGCAACCTGTAGCTTAGGGTTTGGGGTTTAGGATTTAGGGTTTAGGGTTTAGGCTATGCAATTATGTCCAGTATCAATCCTCGTCTCCCAAAAAATCCCGCACCCGTACGTGATCTCACTGGTAGGAGCGTGCATTGCATGTCCCAACACGAATGCTGACATTCTCAGTATAGAAGCCTGAATAAGTAGTTACAGCACCAATATTGTGGGATTCCTTTAGTAGACTTGAAATGTAGTATACCCCGAAACCTTGTTTTATTTGCTAAGGGCCCTGTTTTCACCGGCCATCCCAAATTCTTACCAATTTGGAAAGGCAACGTCTCCAGTCTTTAGATGCTTATGTCTTGTGGTTTAAGTGTTTAGAGGTTAGGGTTTAGAGTGTATAGAGTGGTTTATTGTTTAGGATTTATTTAGGTGTTTTTGGTGGTTTAGGGATCAGCGACGGGTTTAGAGCCCAGTCTTTGTGGCCTGGGCCTGCGACTCTACGGTAAGCCTGTGTCCGATGCACACTCTTGCAAGTCTTCATGAGCCTTGCCCACATCGATTCCTCAGCCAGTTTGGAGCAAGAGAGGAAAAAATGGCTGCCCGAAGCCCCATCTCCGCGAAGGTACCGCTTAGATTTGAGACCCTCCAGTTGATGAGCTACCCTGATCCCTCAATCCTAGAGACCCTGGGAGAAAGAGGGTTTAGATGTAATTAGGATTTTTCGGACCACAGAAAACACGTCGTCCGAAATCAGCTCTCGTGTGACGGTTATGCTTTCTCGTGCTGCATCTGCACTCTGACGTAAGTCAGACCACATAAAAGCTCGCCGACACTCTGCGGAAGACCCGCGGCAACCCAAACTCTAAAGCTTAAATCCTGTATTTGAAGCCTAAGCATTATAAGCCCAAAGCCCTGAACCTTGAATTCTGAGCCAAGCCGGCTTTTCGGTTAGTGTAGACCGGAATAATTGCCAATGCGATTCACTCTTCCTGAGGGCTTCGTATACTATAACATGCTCCGGAGCCCTGATCTATTCATTAACGCCCCCTTCTAACATGTAACGCCCTGCTAGAAACCCTGTTCTACTGATCGAGGCTCCTGTACTAGCTAAACCAAAAACGCTAAACCCTGAACCCTAAACCCTAAACCCTAGACTCTAGACCCTAGACCCTAGACCCTAAACCCTATAGACCCTGAGCCCTAAACCCGAAGCCCTCAACCCTACACCCTAGACCCTAGACCC